TATAAATATTATAAATATTTAATTTATAATAATTACTATATAATTATTATAAAAAATAATTTATTCTTTTATGGTTTTCTTCATTCTGATAAGAATGAACATAATATATATAAAGTATATAAATCTTATCTACAATCTTATCAAACTTGAACATTTAATATTTGTGATTCATCTTCCTTTTTCTAGCGTGACTATATACAGGGTGTCAAAAATCTCGACATATTTTTCTTCACTTTTTACAAAAATTCGATTAGAGAAAATCAAATTTTTCTTAATAATTTTTTAATTTTTAATATAAAATTTGATAACAAAAAAAATTAAAAAATGAAGGCTCCAAAAATAAAAACCGAAATTAAACAATAATTTTATTATTCCTTTGCATCGAGCATTAAGTACATTTAAATTTTCATTCTTTTCATGAAAGACTTGCCGATCACGATATTCTCTCTAAACGAAACATTTACTCCAAATCACATCTAGAAGAAATCTTTGGGGTAAGAACGCCAATAGTTTTTGAGCATCCTGTATATGCACATTGACATCAGCCGTGCGTCCAGCGTATCGTGTCACACACGACTGACACGACACATGTGTGACAACGCTTCAAATTCGAGTGAAGCAAGATAAACCATGATTTACGCGGTTAAACGCAAGAGATGTGTAAAATCGTAGAGGAGCCTCCTTTCATTGTCTCGTCGGTGCGTCGCAACGCCTCGTGATCCGATCAGAGATAAGTAAACCGGAAAAACTGAGAGGAAGATATTTCATGTAGCAAATCGGTACAATATAGTATAGTACACCGGTACATAAAAGCAAAGGTAACGCGTTCAGGTATCGCGACTTACTCGTTTCGTACGACATTCCGTTCGGTGAACCCTGTGCCTCTGCACGCCCAACGATATCTAAACTAGACCGAGCGAGAGAATCTGGTGTTTGACGTGAGGATGCGACGTCCACGACAGCCTACGTGTGATAGCTCCGCGACAGCACCCACCTTCCGCACACAAAACACACACACACACACACACACTTGCTCAAACACATATACACACGCACACATATATATCAAATACGCACGCGCTGCATGCACGCACACTTACGTGCAAAATACTTGTTCCACCCTTCGCCTTATTTGGTTGAAACATGAACAAAGATATTACTAGACGCGCCTGGCTGAAGCGTGCACGAGAGTTGATAGGAGACACGATAGAGACATCTGCTGGGAATTTTTGTTGAACTAAATTGCGGCTAAAATATAGATAAAATCACAATGCAATAACGGCCTGAAGCTTTTTTGAATTAAAAAAAGAAAAAAACGTAAACACAAGAAAATTTAAAAAAGGTACACAAACGATACATTTATTTGTTTTATTTTTTTACATATTTTTTCTCTTTCGGTTTTTTTTCTAAAGTGTTTAAATATATATTTATTTTATTTATATTTTATTTATATTT